TTCTTAAAGAGAAGTAAGGATGAATCTAAATGGAATAGAAAGAGGGAAATCAGCTTTCTAAAAACAGCTTTTTAAAAATTTAAGATGGCTTTCTAAAAAATCCATGGAGCACTTTTTGGCTCTAAATATCTTTAAGCAAATATAACTATTCATTCAATCATTCCTCTATGTAGAAAAGCTATGTAATTTTGAAAGAACTATTTACTTTTGTAATAGTTTTTTTTGAGAAGGGTCTTGCTACACAGTTCAGGCTGGTTTTGAACTCACTTTGTGTCACAGGCTGCCCTCGAACTCACAACTATCCTGCTCAGCCTCCCAACTGCTGGAATTACAGGCATGCACTACCAAGTCCAGCAAGTTTAGCATTCTTATCACTAATGCAAAATACAGAGCTCTATTCATTTTGAAATTTGTGCACATGCTCGCATGAGTCATTAAGCAAAAATCTGTTCTAAAGGAAAGAAGTTAGAAGCAGGACACCTAAGTTAGAAGATATATTACCATGGTTAAGGGTGTAACTGTCTTTCTACTCAGTATTGTACAGCAATGAACTAGATGCAAAAGTTCACTCTGACCTGTAAGGGAAGTGATTCATTGAAGACAAGAATTATATGCAATGAAATAACCAAATAACTTAAATATAATTCTTACAGCATGAACATAGCCACTGAAGCAGACAGCACAAAGTACCCATTAACAAAATCCATGGCATGACACCACGTCAAAACCATATTGTCTGACTTCTGATAATCTGCCATAGAATTTTACCAAATCTTACAAGAGTTTTTCAGTGTTCTCTCATGTTTGATCTTTATTCAAATGGGTTATATGTTAGGAATGAGAAAACCCAGGAAGGAGTAACAAACAAATGAAAGAAGAAAGAAAGGAGGAAGGGAAAGAAGAAAAAAGAATGGGGACGTGTGCTCCATTTTCAGTAGTAGAAAGGCAAGTATTTCATGATAATTTCCTCTTAATTGGGAAGGAGCAACGCATGAACCACCCAGATTATCACTGAAAAGAGGACCTAATCTTTGTCAGACCACAAGCACATTTCCCTTCAACTTCAGACATTCAACATGGTCCTGGCAATTTGAATCTAATCCAGTGAATTGACTCCCTTTTATCTGGATTATACAAATTGGATTATCTACTCCCTAAACTCTTCCTACCAATTCTCTCAAGCAGAATAATATCCAAATAATAATAATAGAGTATAAAAATAGTATCATTGGATAATGCCCACTTCTTTTTTATAAATCTCCATCCAAATCCACTTAGGAGGCAATTAAGTGCACTACTGTTGTATTTCTGTTTGTGATGTTGACTACAGGACACCATTAGATTTGAATGAATCTTTGTATAATATAAACTTGAAATACAGAAAGCATTTTTTAATTCCAAAATTATCCCTCAAAAAATAAAAAGATTTTTCATTACATATTTGTCTTTATATGCCATTTTACATTATGAAACATTACCTTATTTTGAATGACAATGTGTTGTAGGGGAAGATCAACTAATTTGAATAATTTCACTTATTGTTATTTTGGGATATTGTTGGACAAGATGGACTAAGGAAAGGCAAAAAAAATTATATACAGTTAAGTGTTCCTAGGGATAAGAATCCATGTGTGGCTTTAAATATTGGAGACCATTACTAATAAACCTTTAAAAATTTTGGAAGCATGATTTAGATGGCCAAGAAAAACCAGTATTTTGAGAAGTTATAATTCAGGGAGACTTATTCTATCAAGTGTCAAAATGCATGAAACTCTAGCTTTTCACAGAGTATGGTTGTTGTGCAGGGATACACAACAGAACAAACTGTCTACTTGGCCACTCTTCCTTCCATTGTAAGAGTAAGAATGCTGAAATAAGAATGATCAGGGTGAGCTCCAATCCAAGCTGTCTCCAAGGGCTTCAGGTTCCACATACATGAAAACACTTTATTGGACCAGGTCCCTACAAAACCCCTTCCCCTACACTGACTGGAAAGATGGGAAGGTTTAATAAAATTACCACATTTGAACTTATTATGAAGGACAAGTCAGAGTGCATAAGGCAAGAAAGAAGACAAAGGTAAAACACTTGCAAGATCAGATGACAGTAGCTGACCCAGGGTGCAGGGTTTGCAAAGGACCATGGTGGGAGAATGGTTTAGAGAGCGCAGTGCATGGCTATGAGAAGCCTCATACATTATGTTTAGAAATTTGGGCTTTATTCATGGACAGTCCAAGAATAATGTGTTTAGAAAGTTCACTGGTTCCAATGCTACAGAATAGAGTTCAAACTTCAGATTTCAACTGTCCAAAGCTAATTTTCAAGTTTTATTTTTCCCATTTACATTAAATAATGTTCTAGAAAAATTATCATTGTAATGTAAAATATCATGGTTTGTTTTAATGTACACAATTTTCCTTCAAAACACCTTTTTTCTTTGCCACTTATAAAGAATCTATGCACACTTTGAGTCTTCACTCTTGCACTTTTTGACAATTTATTCTTTTCTCTTGGCATAGCGTTGTAAATGGTACGTTTCTAAGATCACTTATTTTTCTATTACATAATTATTTTATTAGAAATCACATTTGCTATGCTCAAGGCAACAATGACATTATTAAGCAGGGTACTTAACACAGTGGACACAAAAAAAATATTGGTCTAATACATTCTTTCCTCTAGTGGAACATACGCCATTTTTGATACATGAGCTGTTTTTAAGTAGTACATTGCTGTATATTTAAATACTTTGGAACCTATTCAAATGCACAATTTATATTTTAATGACATGAAATTTATTTTATAGTCATGAATTTTATTTTGGAAAATTGTAAGTAGCATATCAAATCCATGATTTCAGCAAAATTATTGCTTAGGGATCAGATAAGTGAAATGAAACTATTAGCCAGAGTAAAAGCTTCAAAAATGACTCCTATCCTTGATATTACTTATTAATGTTCCCTGCTTAATATTTTTCACAGCACCTATCATCATTTGACATGTATGACATTTCTTTCTCCCCATTTTCAGAATTTAAATTCCACAAGAGCAGGGGTTTGACCTATTTTATTTGCTGCTATCCTCAGAATTCAGAATAGTACCTGGTAAATAGTAAGGGCTCTCTATGTTTATTAAAAAAGAAAAGAGAGAAGTAGATAAGGAGGAAATTAAGGAGAAACAGAAGGATGGAGAAGGAAGAAGGAAGGAGTTGAAGGTAAGTCATAATACAGGTGTGAAAATATAGCAGTGACTGCAAAGGTAGTCAGATATGGACTGGGAAGCACTTTAATAGACAAAAGAACAAGAATTTCAGATAGGGAGGATAGAAAATATCATAGGGCTCTGAACAACAGGGTAAAGTTGGACTCTTTATGAGACATGAAATTTTCTAGGTTGTATCACTAATCCCCAGGAACGTTTTGAAGGTTCAACCACAACTCTGCCATTTCTGTTATGTGACAAAGTTGAAGAGTCTTTTAAATTTATTTGGGAGAAGATTCAAGATTAAGGATCCTGCTCATCTAGGGAATGGGATTAGAATGCCATTTTCCAAATCGAGCATGCTATGGGAAAACAGTGATGGCCCCAGGGGTCAGAGTCCTGCGGATCTTCCCTCTAGCTCCAACAGTAACTAGACGAATGAATGACTTGTTGGGAAGTCCTAATTACTAAAATGTAGGAGGTTACTAAAGGTAAACCTGAAATACAAAGAAGAGGAAGTTGAGGAGTAAGACAAAAACTTTAATTTCCTAATAGAGGATGTAGTCATTCAGTAAATATTTACTGAGTGAGATATTTCTGTAGACACATTTAAGACTTGGGTGCTTCCTTTAACGGAGGGAAAACAATCTCTAATGAAGAGATTGTAAAATACTGTAAGTGATCTAATTAAGTAAATTAGTATAAAATGCCAAAATGTTGTCTGGATGATCAATTTTGCCCAAGTAAGTTGGCCAAAAAGCTTTAGGGAGGAGGTAATGTTTAGGTAGGCTTTAAACTTGACAAATATTGTTCTAAATATAACAGTTCCCTCAGGAAGGGATGCATAACACTGATGGAAAACAAGCTGTTTTTAGACATGCACTAAAGTAAAAACATGTTTAGTTTCAACAACTATGGACACATTTATTATGTTTTTGAAAAGTTATAACTAGAAATAAAATCCACGATTCCCAGGCAATATTGGGCGGCTAAGTAAAAGAACAAAGTTAGGGAGCAGGATTGTCTCCTACAATCCTGGCTCTTTTGATTTCTCTTGCTGTTTTATTTTCATTTAAATCATTTATCAAAAATCTGTCTTTAATTTTTCAGTGCCTACTTTATTTTTAAAACTTTCAGAGATTCTAGTAATAACACAAATATAGGAAAAGGGGGAATCACTCTGTATCAACGGATTCTTATCCCACTGCCAGTGACTTCACTTTAACAGTTGCTTTAGAAACTGGAAAACAATAAACCTGGAAAAATCATACAATAATTTTTTGAGCTGGAAAGGACTTTGGTATTTTCATTTTTTGATAAGAAAACTGGTGCCCAGAAAATGTTAGGCCACACAAGCAGTGAGTGACAGGGCCAAAATCAACCCACATTACTTTATGACCAGTCAATTAAGTGACCCACAACATCTACCTGATGAATGGAATTTTCTTTTTTTTTTTTTTTGGTCTTTTTCCTTTTTATCGGTACCAGGCATCGAACTCACGACTGCCTGCTTGCAAGGCAGGTGCTTATGCCGCTGAGCTAAATCCCCAGCCCTGATGAATGGAATTTTCTTACTTCTGGTAACAGACCCCACTGTGCTGGGTACTATCAAGTTAATGGGATAGCTTTGGGTCCTTCATTCAGATATTCCAAGTGTAAAGTCATTACCAACAATAAAGACAGAAAAAAAAACAAACTAAGCAAGAACCAAGATTAAAAAGAAAATTAGGATTTTCTAATCCATAACATTGCAGTATAAATATAAGACAACATATTATTGAATAAAATATTAAGATTACCTCCAAGGACCATGCCAGCCTGACAGCATTTTCTAAGGCGACATGCTGGGCAATTTTTTCTACGGATTTTATCAACAATGCAGTCATTTCTTCCAGCACATAGATAGTTATGCTGCCCTAAAAAATTAAACAGTAAAAATTATTTACAATACCTAGAGACTACTTGATGTTTTATGTGTTGGCAACTGAAACAGAGGACAGACACACACCAGCAAGTGCATGAGTGTCACTGAATGTCACGATGCTTCCAACTTGCTCAGTACTTTACCTGTGCCTTCAGGTGATAAATATTAAAAATTAAACATTTTTGAAGTGTAGTTGAAAATACCACAATGATGCATTGCCCTTAAAACACCTCAAATACTCTCCCTCACCTTGAGCATATTTAGTCCATCTCTCTTGCCACTTTCTGAAGAAGTTCTGTAAGTCCACTCTTGGGTCTTTAGTGTCCTCATCCTGGCTGCCTTGGTGTCATGAATCAATTCCAAACATTTACCTTCCGTGGTCATTGTGACTTTTGGGAAGCTCTGGAAGTCTCACAGTGTCAGACACAGAAAACATAGATGAGGGCACAGCTTTGTGATTTTTAAAAGCCTGACACTCAGCAGCGGCATTCACTGTATTTGTTGTCACACATAGTAAAGACACATGAAAGGGATCTTCCAAAACTTCTTTGGAAACTGGCAAGTGTGTCCAAAGTAAGAGAGTATTTTGAGGAGCCCAATGGCAGTGTGTCTTCTACTGTAATAATTTTTAAAAAAAAATTTAAACACTCACCTTATGTTTTAATCACCTTTTATGTTTATGCATTTGAACATACATGAAAAACAAGTAGAATGCAATTCTTATATGTCTTCTTGAAGAAAAAAAAATGTTTAGCAGTTCAGTGTTTAAAGTTTGAGGAGGAAGAAAAACTTCAGATAACTGAGAGCTATGATATGAAATCACTACTTGAAGAGGTGGCCCAACTCATACCCCAGGGACAGCTCTTACCAGACTGGAATGTCTGTAAGAAATGTGAAAGTTAGTCCATTTTAAGTTAGGATCATTTTCCACACTAAGTATCGGACCATTAAAGCTGAAAAGTGGATACATAACCCTACAAGAAAAACCTGAGGGATACAGATAGATGTTGATCTTCTCTTTGCAATTTTTTGGCCCAAGAAATGTTGCAGGCAGGCAGTTCCAACTAACCCAACCAAGATAAGTTTTTATTGGGCTCAGGCACTGCTTTTGTTCCACAGTTCTTGGCCAGGGTGCAGAGCCACCAAAAAGGCCAGGGACATACAAAGGGTCATTTCTCTCATGCAATTAGGTAGCTGGCTGAATATTTATTCTCCTGGATGGTAAAGAGAGCTCAGGCACCAATGTCTAGGTTGGAAATATTAAACTGTTAAACTTTGGGATTAAAAATCCAGCATAATCAATTGCTACCTCTTTTCTACAGCCAACAGCTCTCAGCTTTTATACTGGTTTTGAGAAGGAAATCCACATCCAATTCCACTGGCTTATTCCTTATTTTTATGTCTCAAACTGCACACTGCTGCTTCTCCTCAGTCTAACATAACGTTGTCAGGATGCAACTCCACAGATCACCCTGTTAAACCACGCAGAGCTCTCCATTTTCAGACATCCTCACCATCTGCCCACCTCTTCACTACTGCAAGTTAGAAGACATCCAGGAGCACTACTAAAGTATGAGCTACTCCAAATAGGAATCCTGATGAGGCCTCTGAGACTGTCCTCATTTCTGACAATTTATTAGCTTCTTTTTTTTTTTTGTCTTTTTCATTTTTATCGGTACCAGGGATCGAACTCACGACCGCCTGCTTACAAGGCAGGTGCTTACGCCACTGAGCTAAATCCCCAGCCCCTTATTAGCTTCTTGAAATTTTATTCATCTTCCAAATTTTGGGTTAACTGCTCCCATTTCATCCAACTTGACCACCCCCAGAAAAACTTGGACATATTTTTCTGTATACCACCAGCATATTTGCATATATATTCCTATATAAATACTGTGTGCCTCTCTTGCTTAGATTATGGGAGGATAGATGTTTGTCTTTTGATTCTTACACTTTTTCTTTTTTTATTGGTATCGGGGATTGAACTCATGACTGCCTGCTTGCAAGGCTTGCTTATGCCGCTGAGCTAAATCCCCAGCCCCTGTCTTTTGATTCTTTAACTCTTGTAGTTGAAGGTTTGACAAATGTTGGTTGGATAAATGTATACATAACTATATTTGTTTCATTTATAGTTATATAGTTATACTAAACAATATAAGGTCTACTAAAATGCCTTCATCATCCTGTTCTGATCAGTTCTATACTATTTTGTTTTGTATGAATTCATTGTATGTAAAGATATAGACAACTATTCGGAAGAAAACAAGAGACAACATGATTGACAGTGAAGATCTCTGGTTTTCTTGTTTTGAAATCTGTATTTCTTAATTGTTATGTTATTAACTGTTTCGTTATCTTTAATTTTACCCTCTTTAAAAATAAAAAGAAATAAAATTTTAAAGAACCTAAAAATATCCAGTATAAGGTCTACAGTGTTTTGCTTTTTGTCATGGCTTACTCCAGATTTTTTATTCTTTTTTAACATTTTGAAATTACAGAATGTCTTTTCTTTAGCAAATCTGCCTATAAAGTAATGAGTTGCATATGGAATATAACAAGTTTCTATTTGACACACTGTTTGCAGAGTTTTCATTATCCCCAAAGAATTATGTTTAATGAACCAGAAAAAGGGATTGTTGAATAATTTTATCTATCTATCTATCTATCTATCTATCTATCTATCTATCTTTCTATATCATTTCTACTTGCTCTCCATCTTTAACTTTAAAATGCTGCTATGGTTAAAAGATTATATTATGTAGCCAGGTGTAGTGGTGCACACTTGTAATCCTAGAACTCAGTAAGCTGAGGCAGAGGACTGCCAAAAGTTCAGAGGCAGCCTAGGCTACACATCAAGTTCAAGACCAGCCTGAACTACATAGAGAAACCCTGTCCAAAAAACAAAACAAAACAAATTATAAAAAAAGCACTATTAAAATGTGATTTGATAAATTAACTGTCTAATGCCAAATGACTAATAAAGATCCATTTTAACTGAAATGAAAGTGCTTCATTATAAACTAGAAAGAGGCTTATCTATAAAATGAAAATATCTATGTCCCATTGACTCTTAATAAGAGCACAGATGGATCATTCTGGTAAAGATGGCAGTTAGATAAGAGTAGATTATAGAGGCTCCCTGAGACAGACAGCTCAGATGTTGAAATAACACATAGTGGGGAGGCCCGGACAGAAAGAGATGGATTCTCTCAAAGCTGGAAGAACCTAAAAAGAACCAGTGAAACATGCAGTCCCAGGGCTACTCTTGAGGCAGCTAAGATTCTGTGCTCTCGTGTGCCCGAATTCCCGCTGCTTTGACTCACTGGAACTGTAGTCACACTGAAGTGGAGTCACACTAAAGTCGGAGGTCTGCGAGCCCAATGGAGAACGGAGCTGGCACGGGACCTGCATTGTCCTACAGTGAGTGCCAGAAATAAAACCCTTCCACGGAAAAGGGGCACCAATGGGATGACATTTTGGAATCAGGCAGGACTGGCAAGAACAAGCAATAGCAGTGACATCATTCAGTTGTTCCCTTCCCAGACAAGACTGGTGGGGTATGCTTGGCTTGGGTCACTGCCCTGGCTGAGACCCAATAAGTTGTCTCAAACCAATTCCCTACACGAGGTGCACACTAATGCAGTGAAGGCCTCAGCAGGTTGACTGACCCGGAGGGGAGGAGCCAGCATACGCCACCCCTGTTTGTACTTTAATAACACATTGGAGTGGGCAGGATCACCTAGCCAGAGTACTTCAGAAGAATCATAACCAACAAGGAAAGGGACTGGACCTCCTCTATACATCTGTATGGAAGAAACAAAAAATATGAGAAGAGGAAGCAACAAGAAAAAGTCCCCAGTCCCCAACCCTGAGAACATGGATCCAGGAGGGGGAAATACAAAAGAGATTGAGGATAGCAAACATGCAATATCAGACACAGCATCAGTGGACATAAAGAGATATCCTCAGGACCTCATAGAGGAGTTCAAATGTGAAATATTTAACCAAGTAAAGCAAGATATAAGTAGACTAATAAAAGAAATGCTAAGCACCTCTCAAGACACAGACAGAAGAATGGAGGAGCACAAAAAAGGAGAGAAATGTTTGATAAAGAAAACAGAGAATACATAAAGCAGGTTCAAAGAGATTATCAAGAAATAAAAAAACTCCATTGAAAGCTGGCAAAACTGCTTGAAAGAAACCAAGGATAGATTACCCAAACTGGAAAACAGGCTTGCAATGTGGGATCATAAAAGGAAAAGTTTCTGAAAAATAACAAGGAAACAGGGAGTAACAATACAAAGGCTAGAAGACAACAAGAGGATGTTTAACTTAAGAATAAAAAATGTGAATGAAAAAGTGAAGAAGCAAACAAAGGAACTACAAAGGCTATTCACAGAAATAATTAAGGAAAACTTCCCAAGTATAGGAAAAGGAAATGATATTCAGATGTATGAGGCATACAGAACTCCAGCTACCTACAACCAAAACAGAGTTACACCCAGGCATATGATAATCAAGACCCCAGAAATTCAATATAAGTACAGAATATTAAAAGCCATCAGAGAAAAGAAACAGATTACCTATAAAGAAAAACCCATCAAAATCACGGCAGACTTCTTGACACAGACCATCAAGTCAAGAAGAGCTTGGAGTGAAGTATTCCAAGCCTTGAAAGAAAATAACCTCCTGTCCAGATTGATGTACCCTGAAAAACTGTCTCAAGAAATTAATGGAGAAACAAGATGCTTCCAAGACAAAGAGGAACTTCAGGAATTTGCAACTATCAATCCAACTCTACAGAGAATACTGAAGGACATTCTAGAGAGAGAAAAGTACCAGGATTCCAAGAACAGTGGCAGAGAGGCCTCAATGAATGGATCAGAAAATGGAATGAAGAAGAAAAGCAGACAACTAATGGCAGAAAAAGAGCACAACAGAAATGAGGCAGAGAAGGTTGGCTATACTCTCTAATATAGATGGCCTTGATAC